CTTAGCATTCTCTTTCATGTGGGGGATTGTTGGGATTTGAAAGGTGTGAATGAGAATGAAAGGGGAAGAAGCCAATAGTTGGTGAGTTATTGGTTAAACCAAGTTGAACCGAATCGGACCGAATCGATGTGGCGGTTGGAATGAACCAACCGGTCCAACTACTATGGCGAACCGATGCAATGGTTGGGGTGTAACCACCCACTTGAAGGGTCACATCCCTTCACTGAACCATTGCAATGGTTGGGGTGTAACCACCCACTTGAAGGGTCACATCCCTTCACTCGCACCCCTTCATTGTCTATAAATAAACACCTACCCCCCTCTGTTTTCTACACAAGTTATTTTCCCAAGAAATTTTTCTGGCCAAAAGATAAAGAATTTTTCATTCTTCATTGCATTTCCTCTCTACAAACTCATAAAGAAAACAGAGTCGTGTGACTTCTCTCCGATCGTTGCGTTCGTCGGGTTCTGGTGTTTCAAGTACCGGTACGCCAGAAAAGGTACGTCCGTTCTATCCTGGGAGGAATAGTTCCAATAACCTTGGGTACCGTAGAGGGGAACTAAATTCCTTAAGGAGAAATAGTGAATTCTATTGGCTCGGGCGTTGTTTATGCATGTGTCGATTTCTATATATGACTTGTGTGGCAAGAAACATACTTTTGTGAAACGTTTTTCCATAACAATTACATCGATCCGACCGTATTGATGCAAAATCATTCTATTTCACAAACAATCAAGAAAATAAACATTAGTTTGTTGAATTATGCTATAACTACGAAACCACATGAGACTGCTCCTCCCATGGAGTTTTCTTTTTATCAAAAGACAAGTTCAGAAAAGGCCTATTACAAAACACAATTACAAGAATGACTACAATGAAATCCACTAACTATTTCGTATGCAACCAAATTATCAATAATGAAATCTATTTTGCCATTACATGAACATTTTTGTTTAAATTTCGATGAGCAAAAATGAATGATATTGATTCTAAAGACGAGTAAAAGGAGTGAACTTTCTCCAAAATAACACAAATATGTAAAAAAAAAATTATTCAAGATTTTAAATTTGACTGACAACAAGTGATCATTTCATCCCTTACAAAGGAACCAACAAGTAGGGTTGCAAATGAGTTGAGTTGTTCATGAGTGGCTCGACGTTCGAATTTGAAAAACATCGTTTGAAACTTGATTGTGTACTAACGAGCCGAGTTTGAACTAAGTCTTGTTAAGCTCGAGAGCCAAGTCGACTCAATGGCTTGTTGATTTCAACTTGTGAGCGTAGTTGTTTTGAGCTCATTAGATGTCTCCACATTGTGGCTAGTGAGCCAACTCGACTATCAGCTTATGAGTGAATGATGCATTGACGGATCAAGCATCGCAGCACAAAAACGATAAATAAACTAAAACAACTAAATTAGGGGTTTTCTTCTTCATTGACTTCTTAAGACTGAACCACAAAGTACATATTTATAAGAAAGCACGAGAAAACCTAATACGAACCTAGCCCTATTCGGCCACTAGCTTGGCCGCCACTCCACCCAACCCCTACGAATCCTAACCCAACACTAACATTACTATAATTATCTCTTAAACCTATGATAATACTAATGAGTTTCCCTAGTTGGCTACAGTAGCCGACTCCCCAAAACATATGATAATAACTAATAATAGTAATAATATGTTTATACTCATCAATCCCCTCCCCTTCGAAGAACTTCGTCCCGAAGTTCAAGCACCGCCTCGACCCGAATCAATGAAAAAGACCCGCTCCCACGTGTGATGACGATGATGAAGAGAGTGAATATCCACGACCCCAACCTCTTTTACGAGATTTCCAATTTCGTAGAGGCAGTCGTACAAACCCAACATCGACAGTTTCCTCGATCGCCAACGAGAAGCTCGGAGAGTCTTCTTCCAACCACGTCCCTGCATGCAGTTCATGCAGCATTCCATTCTTCCCTCGCAGCAACTGGGAAGCTCGAGAAGACCGCTTGGTGGGTCGTAGCGGCAAAGCGAGCCCTACCGACTGTCGGCTGATCTTGATAGTGGATGATTCGGCAGCTGGAACCCCCTTCAACTCCATGTCAACGCAGCCTATACCAATCGACATCGGCCGGTTGGCATTGACTCCAGGGACTTCATCGACCTTCTCCCTCGCGATACTGCTGGGTTTGTCGCCATCCCCCTCCTGCTTCCAATTCGCACACCCAACCCAAAGAGCACCTTCTTCTTCGGCCGCAACGACTCCCCGCCTCTTCCGGTATTTCCAATTGGGTTGAGTTGCTTCGTCAAATGGAACCGAATCAATAGCATCAGCAGTATTTGCAGCAATGACTGCGGCCGGCGAGATTTCCTGCAAGTCCAACGATGCTAGCGGCAGCTGTGAAATCGAAAGCTTTTCCGTTGTCACGATGTTGCGCGCCAGCTCCGGAGACACATGCGTAGCAAGGACAAAGGCAGCAGCTCCGCGTCGTCTCTTCTTCTTCTTCTTCTTCTTACGACAGCAGCGCCTCCCCCCTTCAGGCGTGACCGCCATCGATCGCGGCGGTGCGGAGCTTCCAGCCACAACACCGTTTGACAGTACAAGAGTTGTCGGACCTGCTTCACGTCGTCGATCACGATCTTGTTGAAGCTTCTTGAGCTCGGCAATCCTCTTGGTGGCCTCGCAAAAGCCTCGCACGGTGACCCTTTCAGCATTATACCAAAAACTCATGGCTGAATTTTCCCAATCCATTGTTACCACTGCCACTTGTTTGAGCCACTCCCCGCCAAGGACGAGGTCAACCCCACGAATCGGAAGCTCGTACGAATTTACTTCAAGCCATACACCTTGTACTTTAATTGGAACGGCCTCGTAACAGCGTTCACAAACCAAGAATTCTCCGTTTGCTGTCTTGACCTTGAACGGAGGAATCGGTGTAGCCTGCAAGGCTAAACCCTTGGCAACGTCGGGGTTTAGGAAGTTGTGCGTCGAAAACCCATCGACTAGGGCAACCACTGGTTCTCGATGTATTGTCGTGTCGAGTCGGAGGGTTGCTGAGTTCCAATCTCCGGCAAGAGTAGAGAAAGAGACCTCGGCATTGATTGGCACAGGAGGTTTATCCGGTGGTTCATGTGGGATCTTTGCGTCACACGGCTCGTCGGGTGGTTCCAACGGTGGCACGCATCTTCTTGCACACCGTTCAGCAACGGCGGCGGCAGCAGCAGGTGAGGTCGTGACCTCCAGCGGTGCATGGCGAACGTCCAGCGACGTTGGCCTTGTGAATTTCGGCGGCGGTGTAGTTGCTCGCGGGACCTCTTCCCAACGTTGGTGGTTGAACGTTGACGATACCTGCCCTGGGAGCTGCAGCAGCGAGCTCGGTTCTCTCGAACCAGGCTCTGATACCAATTGATGCATTGACGGATCAAGCATCGCAGCACAAAAACGATAAATAAACTAAAACAACTAAATTAGGGGTTTTCTTCTTCATTGACTTCTTAAGACTGAACCACAAAGTACATATTTATAAGAAAGCACGAGAAAACCTAATACGAACCTAGCCCTATTCGGCCACTAGCTTGGCCGCCACTCCACCCAACCCCTACGAATCCTAACCCAACACTAACATTACTATAATTATCTCTTAAACCTATGATAATACTAATGAGTTTCCCTAGTTGGCTACAGTAGCCGACTCCCCAAAACATATGATAATAACTAATAATAGTAATAATATGTTTATACTCATCAGTGAATCGATCTATCATATGAGTTGTCTTATTGATAATTTGTAGGCTTGTTGAACATATATATCTCTTATAATTTAAAAAAAATTGTGTAACATTGATTAGTTATATACTAATTACTATAAAATAACTCGATCATGAACTAGTTAAAATAAATGAACTAAGTAATATGATAACAACAAAATATATAAATGCAATTTTGATATCATTTTTTCTCATTATAACATCAACCACATGTATAATACATAACATACAAATATTAGGGTATCTGATTTATAAATTATTTTAATTCAAGAGCCTCTTTTTTTTCCAGTATGGCATAGAAAAAGAAACTCCATAAGTTGAGAAACCCATAAATTCGTCTAGTAAGAAGAAGAAGCCGATACTATGCCCATGGGATCGGTTGGTTCGATGAGGACAGAACATGGTGGGCGTCACAACAATTGACCACTCTATTGTCCCCTCCCCCTCTTCAATTCAATTCCCCCCCCATGGCATGCCCACAAACTTGTGATCACAGGAGAATCGCATCTTGGCTTCTTCTATCCATCCAATCAAACTTCATTTGCCCTCTCTCTCTCTCTCTCTCTCTCTCTCTCTCTCCATCGCATAAGTGCTCTGCATCTCCACCTGTCCTCGCTTTCCTTCTTTTACCACTCTACTTTCTTTACCTCTTTTGCCTACTACGTTAGGAGCAAGAGGAGTCTTACCAGTTACAACTTACTAGTTATATTTTCCAAAGTACTAACTTCCTATGGTTCAAAAAAAGTGTAAATATATAGGCTACCATAAGGCATGTGTATGCTTAACTTTCGTAAAAACTCGACAAGGTCGTTCGAGCAGACTATTACGACATATAACCTTTGCAATGACTAGTTTGCCAGAAATTGGACAACCCGCACAAATTAGACAAGCATTCTTATTTGTTCAACAAAGACAGAAACAGGAACAATGAAGACGATTTTTCATTTGCCTTGCCAATCGGTTTTTGTTACCCCTTGGAAGAATGAGAAGAAGAAGAAGAAGAAAAAAAAAAACAATTCTTACATACAGAAAGTAAGAAATTACATACAAAATTACATTTTTTATCAATCCTTCCTCTGTCTGCCCCTCCCGGCCTCTATACATTACCAATCTAACACTTTGAATTGCTTTCTTTTCTTAGCTTAGCGCCCTCTACTTCTCTGTTTGTACCAATTAAAAACCTAAATAAAAAAAGAGGAAGAAGGAACGGAAAATTGATCACACAAATCGGACAAAAAAAAATTTCCCTCAAAACGGGACGACCTCGCTGTAAACGTAATCGTCGGAATTACCGGCGGAATCCTCCGGCCACGAATCTCTCAACAACTTGAGCAGCATCTGAGCCTTCCTCTTCGCCCGATCCGTACAGTCGCTCTGCACCAGCAGCAGCATCTGCGTCAGCACTCCGGCCCTCACGGCCTCCCTCTGGCAAATCTCCGACGCCGAGCACAGCGCCAGCAGCGCCCCGGCGGCGTACTCCGTCGCCCTGTCCGAGATCTTGAGTATCGTCTTCACCAGGAGCGGAACGGTGAGCGCGTGATCCGCAAGCGCCTCGCACCCGGAGGGGACGCGGCAGAGAAGCTCCACCGTCGCCAGGGCGCGCTCCGCGTCGCACTTGTCGAAATCGGGCAGCCTGTCCACCAGCGTCTCCGCCGCGCCCGCGCTCACCGCCTTGTGGCGCGTCTGCTTCGCCAGGCACAGCGCGAACATCGCCTTGATCCCGATCTTCAGAGCCCGCGGGTTGGGGATCGGATTCCGCAGCATCTCCACAACTCCCTCGAGGATCTCCTCCACCCCGCTCACCGCCGCTCTCAGATCCGAGCACCGCGCCCCGACGACGACCATCTCGACCATCGCCGCGGAATTCACCCGCGCCTCGATCGACGAATGGAACAGCAAATTCGCCAGGAATCCGACCTTGGCCGGATCGGAAGCGATCCCGACGCAATCCGCCTCGCCGAGGGGGAACATCACGAGGACCGCCAGCGCCTCGAGGCGGATCAGCTCCTCGCCGCCGCCGCCGCCGCCAAACGCGATCCGAATCAGAACCTCCCTGGCGTTGTGGGCGGAAATCACGGAGCGATTCTTGTCCGAGTCCCGGGCGAGTCCCTTGAGCCTCCTCAAGGCGGCGAGGCGGGATGGGTTGGGGCAGGAAGCCGAACCGGCCTGGTTCAAAAGGGAGCGGACCAAGGAGGGCTCGGCGGGCTGTTTGGGGGTGGGGATTCGCTCGACCCCGAAGGAGCGATTGGCGACGCACCAGTCCTGTATTAGGCGGCGGAGGGTGTGGTTGGGGATGAGGGTGAAGTCGGGGAGCGGGGAGCGGGTGACGGGGCAGGTGGTGTTGCCGGTGGCGACCCAGGACTCGATGCTGGAGCGGTCGTAGGTCTGACCGGTGGAGACGGTGACCGGGTCGCGCATGAGCTCGAGGGAGATCGGGCAGCGGAAGTGGTAGGGAATCTGGACGGATAAATCCAGGGGTTCTAAGCTTCCCGGCATAGTGAGGAGTGAAGAACGGCGAGTTGTTTCTTCTTTCTCTCGTCTTTTTGGGTGGGTGGGTGGATGGATTTGTGTGAAATGAGATAAGAGGAAGGAGAAGGGCGGAGGAGGTTATACTATAAGGAGGCGAGAGAGAAATTATCTGACAGTGGGTCGCCACACGTGTGGTGGTGGGGCCCTGAAATGAGCTGGATTTTTATTTATTTGTGTGTGTGTGTGGAAAAAGGTGGTTTTGGTCAAACCGAATGGAAATTTGGTAGGACTGGGGTGGGGCCGGGTTGGTTTTGGTTGATCATTCAAATCCGACTGCTGTTTACATCAAAGGGGATGGGAATGGGATACAGTTGAATGGTGGGGGGGAATGAAATAAAGGGGATACAGGAAAAAAAATTCGGTATTATTATTCAGTTAATTGAAGATTTTGTTGGGGTTTGATTGTAACTGAAGCAACAATCCGTTTACTAGGATCAGTGGATGGACTGCTTTTCTTGAACCATAATTCATGCCATTAATTGTGGATTGGACTACAAAATTGGTGTGATGGATGGAATTCTGGTTCAAATCTATCCATCTCTTATTACCTTTTAGTTTTATATATATGGTCATGTTATACTTTCCAAAAATAATTTATCCAAAACTATGGAATACTGCTCCTATTATGTTGCACCTCATTTTCCCGATTTCGCCCCCGGGTTTTCAAACTACAAGTGACATGATAAGCAAATTACGAACGAGCGAATGATTTGCTCATTTTGTTTTTGGGATTTCAATGAAATTTGTCGTTATCGACAAATATACGTCAATGTTAAATGCACCAAAAATACATTTGAAATTTGTTGACACAACTAGTGATGGCAATGGGACGGGACGGGTATCTCAATGCACGCCCCCCACACTAAGCGCGGATCAGGTCAGGTAACACTCTCGTGGTTACGCGGTGGGACAATTCAACTCACCATTATATATCAGTTGAAGAAAAAAACGTCAATAATGAACTCTTTTACAAGAAGACAAACATAAAACACTTCATAAATGAAATCATATATATAGTAGAATGATAATTTAGTCTAAATAGTTGAAAGTTATTTGGGATGAAATATGATTTTGAAAAGTCAAAAGAGGAAATATACAAGTCGTAAGGAAGTGGTTAAGTATCATACATGGACATCTCTCAACAGCTCGAGTTTTGTGACTAATTGGTTTCTGACATGGTATCAAAGCTGATTTGACTTTGAGGTCATGTTTTCAAGTTCTCAAGACCCCCAATATTAACTGTTATCTTAAAGGGCATGGTATGGGGAGGCATGTGCAAATTTCAAGTCCATGAGTGGGCTTTGGTTTGGGGGTGCGGTGTAAGAAAGTGGCTAAGTGACATACTTGGACCTCTCCGAACATCTCAAGTTATTGAGACCAGTTAGTTCATGACACAAGTAGACATTAATATAATTCATAATCGAACGAATCAATAACGGGGCAGAACATGTCAAAAACAATACTCATGCGGTCATGCCCCACCATACTCTACAACGAGTCAAATAATACTCACCCTAAACAAATCGAGTCGTATAGGTCAAATCAGAAATTACCATTACTATCCACAACTCTACCAAATTACCAATAGTGTATGCAGATGTAGTGCATACCATTTCATCTAATAGACTGCTAATTGTAATTATTGTTTTCTTAGTTTGTTAAGAAGAAGAAGAGGAATATACTTTATGGGCGGGCTGTCTTTTACTTTCTTGTCCCCATTGGAGGGGTATTGGCTTGTGTGTGGATGGTTGAACATGTAACCAAGAACATCATTACCCCTAAAAAAACAGCATCATAATTCTTGTTTACGATTATTATTATTATTATCAGTTAAGCGTTATAATTAATTAGTGTTAAGTTTCTGCTGGCAGGCTGCCACCCTTTACAGTCTGTTGGCCTCTGTGTCAAATCTTTGCTTTTACGATTGAGGGACTGAGGATTAATAAATACCGAAAGACCCATAAACGGGAAAAAGGAAGATAGAAACGGGAGTACCCAACTAACAGACTTAACAAAAGAGCACTTAATAAGAGTAGCAAGCATATATATTCCCAGAATTCAATGGAATGAGTCTCTCATTTGCTTCTTTCTGTTTGGCAATGCGATCGAGAAAAGCATGAGGGGCAAACGAATACGAAAGCTTCTTTCTTTCGTTCTTGCAAAAGGAAAAGAGTAAAGAAGGAATGGGGGTATACCCAATTCATTATTGCAAAGTCAATCTCAAACCCTCCCTTTTGTATTCTGCATTATGATTACAAGAAACTGAGAAACGCACAAACCCTTTCGTGCCAAAACCCACCACCACCAACCCATTCCACCACTCTGCTCATGAACCAGAAGTGAGCTATGGAAAGCATCTACTTGGAGTTGATCAAATTTCTTAAATTCTTCTATAGAACACACCACATAGTTAAACATTTATGTTATGGTTCTCATAATTTCCTCCACTATCTTCACATTAGGCATAGACTCTCCACAGTTTCTCATATAATTTGCAATCACCATGGCACAACCAAAGTAGTCTATGACTGTTTCACCTTCCTTCATCTTCAGACACTCCGAATTTCTTCTGAGAGTCTGAAGTTAAGCCCTCTAAACTCTGGCATTCCCTAGGTACTTGAGTTTCATTGAATCTCATAACTCTTTGGCGGTAGCCTTGTTGATGATTGTCTTAAGAGTTGTCTTATCTATAGAGCTGAAAATATAATTCTTTGATATCAAGTCTTTCAATTTCATGTCTTCTAGTGCTTTTGTCTTGGATGGGAGAGAGTTAATTTCTTTGAGTAGGCTCTTGAAAACTTGCAGTCACCACACTCCAATACGCTTTAGATCTCGATAGATTCTCCATCAACAAACTCTAGTGATCATAGTCCATCAAATTTGTGTATGCACACTTGGGCAAACCTGTTGATCTCTAATCAGTCTTTTCCTTTTCACACTCACCTTTCCTAGAGATATCCCACTTGAATACTCTCATGTTCCCCTGCACCCAATCTGCACTCTTGATGGCAAGACACACACTAAACACTCACAGGATTTTGGTTACAACTTGCTTGAGCTCTGATGCCACAATGCCATTAAACTCAAGGACATGATTCCCAGCTTCCAAATCCAACTTTCCACTAACCAAACTACCTTGAAAAATAGATAATAGACTCCCACAAGCCTCGACACTAAGCTGCTGACTCATTTGTTTACTCGAACACGACTTGGGCTCATTTGACGCATAAAACAAACTAAAGTGATTGTAAAGCAATTATCAAATGACAGATTAATGAACTTTGAACTTCAAACTTCAAATTCAAACGCTTGGCGCCTGGGTTCGATCCTTCTGTTCAACTTCTAATATATAAGTTATCAAATGGATAAATTGTCTTAAGGAATACATTTAAATATGAGGTGTGAGTGTGTGATTTAGAAGCGTGAGTCTCTCTCTACTATTTGATCCAAATTCTAGTTGATGCATCACATATATTTTCACTTTCCACCAACATGAAAGCTCGACTTATTGGGGGATTAGATTAATAGGGTTTTCCCCTTGTTAATATCAATTAAGTAGATGCTTGGACCCAAAAATCAAGCTAATAATAGATTTGGAGAGGTCGAGGGTCCTGAATTAGGCTGGTCAAAGACACGAGCGCCCATGATGGCGACACAGTGTAATGCAGCCAACCACGCTCATTCATCCACACATACAATTATTCTTTATTGCCCTCAAACTCATTCTTCCATATTATTGGTTCAAGCAAAGCAAAGCAAAGCTATAAAAATGTATCGTTCTTTTTTCCCTTTTTGCTGGCCTCCCCACCTTGTGTTATATTTTAATATAGAGAGCCAATCTTTTTGGAACATAAGAGGAGGTTGACACTAAAAATTGGAGGGTTGGAAATACTATATTTATTACACAGGGCAAATGCGATTGGCTGGCATGCTGGGGTACTTTTCATGCCAACGTTGTCGGTCGGTTTTTCTGATTGTTCGATCGACTGATTACGTTATATATCGAAATTATATATTTTTAATTTAACGAATACAGAAGGACGATTCGATTCAAGTAAGAGCATTATGCCCTAATTCAAGCAAAATGTAGCAATTACTCTGTTATTTAACTATATTATTGAAATAAGTGTATGTGTTGGAATGATGTGATATCGGTAATGTAACAGTGGAGTGGTGGGCGGTGTGGGGGGACTTAGTTGGATGGCGATGAGTGATGATGATGGTGGAACGGAAGGCAGTCGGTCAAAGGGTCAAAGACGGATAATGAAAGCGGAGCCAACATAAAATCGCAACAATGTGCGGGTCCAGCTTGTCCCTTTCCCTTCTCTTCCACACCTTTCCACAGGCTCAAGATAGGGTGCATAACCCATGGTTATGCACCCATCAATAACCAAATCTGGACCCTTCATTTAGAAAATCCAGATCTAAGGATGGAGAATTAAAGATCATTTTTATTTTCACTAGTTTTCTTAATTGACTCATATCTTTTTCGTTTTAACTCGGATTTTAATTTTTTTTGCACAGATGGAACGAGTTCATCGTGCTCTACAAAATGAGATCAATTTTCAATATTTTTTGAGGGAAAAAAAATTCTGGCCTTTCGGTACCAACTGCATACCATATGGTATTTTCTTCGTTTTTCATTCGTTTTTGAAAACGTTTGCACAGCAGGGACGAGTTCATCATGATCTATTTGATCTACAAATTTCTGGGTGAACAAATTACAAGACCAAAAAATACCACACAATACCATACAATACCACCCTGGTACGGGGTGGTATTTTATGGTATTTTATAGTATACAATGTTAAAAGTCGTAAATGACAATTAATATACTTCTACTATCATGTATTCAATCATCCTACAGTCTTGGTTTGTGCCATACCACCATGGTACGCTTTTCAAACCATAGGTATGCTCTTATTTCAATACCAGTCAATACCATATGGTATAGACTGGTATAAAAT